GAGTCGTCTCCTCCTCCGATGGTCTTGTCACTGGGCATCTGTCCGTCTGGCTGGATGCCGTGCTCCAGACAGTACAGCTCCCAGCATGCATTGCCCATCTGAACACCAGCCTGACCGACATGGACAGAGATACACTCACGCTGGAGGAGCACAACAACCGGAGGTCAGGTTAGGATGCCTTCGATTACACATTCATACTTTGTGACATTTCTGTCTGATATTTTTGCATGAAACTGTGCTGCTTACCATGATTATAAACTCCTGCTGCTGACGTTGAGGGTCTCCAGGAGAAATGTGCTGTCTGGTAATGTTGAGTCTGCTCTGGTACTTATAGTTCCTCCAAACTCTGGTGACTATAGTAACAAGCTTTGTTGTCTGGGGATAACTGTGTTAATCATTGAGCTGCACACCTCAGTAACCCTCCGTCCAGCTCTAAGGTAATGTGTAACCCCAGACCCCGACACAGGCTCAGGCATGTAGACCTCATTGAAGTCACAGGAAACAAAGCAAACAGAGCATTGTTTTAGTATTTGTGGAGCACATTGAGATTCAAGGCTCTCCATGGAGACACAGACTGATGCAGACACTAAAGTCAAGGAGATGCAGGGAAATACCAAAGTATTAGTGTCCAGAATTATTCAAATGAATAAACCCTTTTTATGGCCAATGAGCCAACGAGCCTCAATCAGGAAATCATCTGTTAATCTCTGTAGATTCCCTAAAATAGAAACAATATTATGCTGTGTGATCTACTGTTGGAGTAGAGGAAGCCTCCCCCCCCCCCCCCCCCCTCCCCCTCTCTGTGAGGCCTGTTGTGTTTCCACATGATTGGGTCTCCTGTTGTTATAGAGACATAGAAGGTCACACTGCGGTCGCTAGAATGTATGATTACTGTTGAGAGAATAACACGCTGATGGGTCTCCATAAATCAAAGACAATAAGCATAAAGGACATGATGATCAGCAATGGGCTCCTAATTAGATCATTGTTTGTTCTCTGTAGTCCAGCAGCAGAAAAACTACCACAAAGTACTTCCACTACTTTAAATGTGACAGACTCACTCAAAGCACCACCTGCTGGTTGAAGCCGTGCAGCACGTTCACACACATCTACTGCATAAAGTACTGAAGTATGAACATTGCAGCTTATAAACACATATTAATCGAGTACATTAGGAATATAAATCATCGCCTGCATATGAAGAAATAGAGATGCATTGATTGATCTATTGGTGGATTTAAATTGAATTATACAAAAACATAAAAATAAATGCTCTCAGATCCACCTTTCACCAGACCAGGAAGAAGAACTCAGACTGAAAGAGAAAAGAAGGAAGGAAAGCAGCACAGCACATGTTGTTTCATTCATCTTTAATGACACTGACCAACAGATGGTGCATTAGTTATCACCTTATTCATCAACTCCACACATTATAAAAATACAGTTTGCATGGGTTCAACGTTGGTTAATAAGGTTTAAATGGAGCACACTCATTTAGAGCACAGAGATCCAGTCAACTTCACATGGACGATGTCTCCTGTCTGAGTATGAATAAACTAAAGAAGATGATTTCACCCATCAATGAAAATATGACTCAAAACCAAAATAAAAGCGTATGTGCATTAGAAAATGTAAGCCACACATTTATTTATGTCCTCAAAATGGCCAGTAAAATAAAAACTACTGTTCCCTTTGATAATCCTACAAGCCCAAGAAAAGAATAGATTGTGAAACAGCAAGGCAGCGCCGTGCAAACATCCTGTTGATACCTGGTGTTCCCCAGGGCTCGACTCTAGGACACCTCGTAGAGCGACACTACCGGGTGTCCTTGAGTTACAGAGACAATCAAATGCTTCATGCAAGGAACTGTTGAGACATTCTGACATTCACACAACACATCCAACACAACGTTCGTGTTCTGAGTCTCGTTTCACTTCAGCATATAAATAATCAGGAATAAGAAATCAAAACAAAATTAATAAGTTTTACATTTTGGGTGTACAATTTGACTGAATTTACTACAAGGTAGTGAGTCGGGGCGAAATTTAATTATCTTTTTATACGAACAACGTTGAATTTGGTTCGAGTAAATGTGTAACAAACAAATGATTTGGTGTCGTAGCCGCTGAGAAGTTTCCTAAAGTGTTAACATTTAGTGACGGTTCCACCAGCTCGTCTCCACTCACATGGAGCCTGAAGGAGGCTACATCTTTGTTTTTGTGGCATGAACCTTTAAACCTTCTGAGTAAAGTTCTCAGGGAAAACGCCTTTGGCTGAAATATCTTTGTTCTGCACCCAGTGAGACTCCTGCACCCCCACGAGCCAGCCGTCGTCCTGCAGAAAGAGAGATATATATTATATATATATATTATATATACTGTAGGTCACTAATGTTGTGCTTGGTCGATGCAGAAGTAGGAAAAGAGGAAGTGATACCTGTTCATCTGGGTTGTCGAAGGCCAAAACCAGCACATCATCTCCGATCTTCAGCTCCAGCTCGTCACCGTCGGTGGCAGCGTACTCATGCACCGCTTTCACCTGACGTAGAAACACGATAAAGGTTCATTGAGATGATATGAACCCAGGGAAACAGAAACCTCGTCAAAACGATTCTACCAGAGTGTTCATCACAAGGTAAAGGAGGATAAGTCATTTAACCTTGTAGAGGAATCCTGGAGGGAGGTCTCCGTCTGAGCCATTGGTCACCTCACTCTGCAGCATGGAACAAGCAGAGAAGGTCCAGGGTTATTATTCAGGAAGTCACAGTCAGATGTGTGAAGAAGCATTAAACAGAAAAAAGAGGTGAAAGTAGACGAAAGAAGAGGGGTTTGGTGACTCTCACTAGGGATCCTTGAGTTCCAGGCTGTTAAAGACCTGCCTCCCTATGATTCGACCCTACCTGGGCCTCTCCTTCACCCCCACAGCCACCTCCCCCTCGGGCGCCATCGTCGTCCCAGCTGGGCTCGCTGTACGACGGAGCAGCATAGACTTTGCTCTCCTGACCCTGAGCCGCCTCTGCATCCTCCCTGCCGGGCTGGGTGCTGCCTTCATCGGGTTCCCGGCCGCCTTTGGCCTCCTCTGGGTATCGCTCGTCTTCGTGCTGCGGCTCTGCGGCGGTCTGTTCTTGCTAGGAAAGGTCAGGGGGTTGAGGAGCGTTGTGGCGGGTTTGGAATCAAGAGGGAAGGTAGGTGGAAGGATGGGAGGAGGATCATGAAAGATCAGGACCCCGGGTGGTACGGGCATCGTAGAGGAAAAGGAAGGAGGTTTATGATGAAAAAAGATGCTGTCAGTCGTCTACAGTCCAGCTTCCTCTGCTCTACTTCACATGTAGAAAATAAAAGAGTCCGTTTCTCCGTTAAGAGCACAGGAACCCATGCTTACCCATGAGTCCCATGATGGCGCCTTCCGTGGTGCAGTTAGAGACGAGACAACCATGAGAACAAAGTGTGCAGGTCGTCATCAAAGTGGTCAAACATTAGGAAGCACACATGAGTTCTACGTGTTTTAGAGGAACTCCACATTCAAAAGCTGACAATGTTTTGCAGCTTTTGCTTAAAGTTTTATCAAACGATTTGCAGAGTCTCTGATCAGCTCATATACTGTACATGTGCATGCAAAGTGAGGCTGAATGGACATGCAGTTCACATAAACACACACACACAATAGTAGAAGCTGTGTTCACATGCAGTCTTCTGTTGGATCTCTGCACCATGCGTGAGATGGGGAGCAGTTTGAAACTCAGTTCTCGTCTCTTCTGTGGAAGAGTTTTGAAGACGTTTCTGCCTTCTTTGGTTTTGTGAGATCACTTCAGTCGAGGTGAAATGAAATCGAACACACAGGTTTTTATATCTGCATGTAAACACACGTCTTCAACCCTTCAGCTCCGCCAACCTTTCACCGTTACGAAGCCCACCCACCTTGGGAGCTGGAGATGAGACGGGCTGTAATACCTCCACATCCCAATCCAGCAGGTTCACCCCTGACCAGGGCTCACACTGCCTCACACACACATACACACACACTCGGGTCAGGAGGGTTTACTATCTGGGGAAATGAATGCAGTCCATGTGACGATATCTGCCCTGCAGGTGACAGTCATACAGAGGGATCTCTTTAAAGAACCAGGATGTAGAGGCAGAATACTCAGTCTGACCTGCTGCGTCGTCGTGGTGCTGGACTCTGTGTTAACATCAGACACCGAGGCCTCGTCCTCTACCGGGTCCACCCGCTGCTGCCGCTGGTCCGGAGACGGCATCGGTCGGGGCGGAGGCCGACTGGGAGGAGGACCGGGCCTCTGCACCACCAGCAGGGTTCAATCAAAACCACACCACACACACGTGCACGCATGCAAAGGCAGCGAGGGAGACGGAGACACATTAGTTCACTAAATGAAGGGTGTGTGTTACACAATCAGATCTTTATTTACTCTGTTTTATCTTTGTGTAAAAGCTCTTTGATATCAGTACAAATGACTCAACATGACTCTACTGCTGTAGAGAACAACAGAGTGGATACACTCACATGGTCAGGTGTTAACTTTACCTTTGGTGCTGAGCTGGCTGATTCACTGTGGTTGGTTTCCTCACTGAGAGAAAGAAAGAGACAGAAACAGGTGCATGAAAATAGGGACAAGAAGTAGAAGAAGAAAAAGAAAAAGAAAAAGAAAAAGAAGAAGAAGAGAAAAGCAGCAGAAAAGAGTAAAAGAAGATTTACTGAATCAAACTCATCACACATGCAGTTCTCAGTTCCCTCCACACGAGGGCGACCACACCCTTCAAACACACATCGACTGTGTCTCAGGTGAACCTGTGTCACATGACAAGCTCTTCAGGATGTTATAAACACAACAGGAAGCAGACAGGAAGTGTCTATCATGAGTTAGTGAAGCAGAAGGAGTCACAGGTTTGAGTCCCAGACGTGTGGAGCTGCACAAACCTTCTGCTTTGAAGCAGAAGCTCCAGACAATATGATCATAGTTTTAATCTTGAAACATTAGTACTTTATTTGTCCTGCAATTGCACCTTTATTCTGAAAATCTCAGAGATCAATCCCAGGTTGTAGTAGACATGTTGTAAGTATTTAGCATTGGTTTTGCATTAGTGGGTTAAGGTTTCATTCCATCGACGCTGCATGCTCGGCCTGTACTTATTTCTGTTACCTCTTGGCACCTTCTCCTGTCTTTGCTGCTGCAGTAGCACCTTTTCTGCAGTAGGGGGCGGTGTGAGGGACATTTTTTACATCTTTCTACACCACGTTGAACCTTTAAAATGTGACTGAAGGCCTCACTTACTTCTGCTCCCGCTGCTCTTCCAGTTTGCTCATGATGTCGTTCAGGTTCTGGCTGAGCTGAGGAGACACAGAGCAGACGAGGACGGATCAATACGGCGACTGATCATTCCTTCAATCAATCACACGAGGACACGTCCACTCACCTTGTTCATTTCCCCGTGGAACTTCTCCTGATGACCTGCCAGGCCCTGGAATGTGTTAACATAGACGCCAACACGACTGCACGCACACACACACACACACACACACGGTTTTAAACATGTGACCCGAGTCGTCATTAAAGATTTTGTAGAAGAAGAAAATTAAGAGTCTTACTTGTCCCACAGTGATGGAAGCTCATCTTGCAACTCCACGTTCAGCTCCTCGAAAATCTTCTGAGCTCGACCCAGCTCCTCCTCGGCCTACACACACACACACACACACACACACACACACACACACACACACACACACACACAATAATAATATATCTGTGTCTGCAATACTTTTTTCTTAGTTTTAAAACAAGAGCACTGGAACATGCAGACAAACACACACAGGGTTTCAGCATCCAAATGAAAATCAGAAGGAAATTACTTCTTCTTCTTCTACGACACAGAAACAACGTAAACAATAGTTTGGATCGGGGATCAAATGACAGTGAGGCTCTCTGCACACGATCATCAGAGAAGAAGCTTTGTTTGAGTTCTGCAGATTCTTCTGTGTCCGACGTTAGCGTGGATAAAATAATACGTGAGTTCTTTAATAAAGGTATCAGTGATGGGCAGACAGGAGGAAGAGGGAATAATGACCTGACATGACTCAAACTCAATCATTCCTGCACAAAAACATTATCAAGCGCCCAATCAAATAACTAGAAAGCCTGACATCAGCAGGCTACGTGGGTTAGCATGCTAACGTGTTATTTTGCAGCGAACACACAGTACAGATGAGACTGGTGGGAGTGTCGTTAGTTTTGCAGGTATTTAGTCACAAAGGAGGTCATTGAAGGCGGCGCTAGAGGAAAAGTCAGCAGGGTTCACCCTCTGGTGATCATGAACGTGTGGAGAGAATATAATGTCAATCCGTCTGATAGTTGTTGAGATAGTTCAGTCAGAAAGTAGAAGATTTGGACAGAAAACTGGTGATCGTGTGCAGAGAGGGCCGGGGGGGAGGAGGGGGGGGTCAGTGATGAACCAGAGTTTCACCTGGTTGAAGGAGAGGTTAGTCTGAGCCACCTGGTGGGCTGATATCAAACCCTGAGCCCAGCTGGGAGCCGCCATCTCCAACAGGGCTGCTTGCTAACCAACACACACCATGCAGGAGAGAGGAGGAGGAGGAGGAGGAGGAGGAGGAGAGAGAAAGAAGAAAAGCAAACAATTCAAGACACAAACATGTTAATTAGCATTTAGCAGTTTAACGAATAAAACGGGTTAATTAGCTCTCAAGTTAAAGTGATGCAGCAGACTTAAGGTGGTATTATTATTATAATTAGGTAACTCATACCACCTTAAGGTAAAAACTATTCCTTTAAACTTCAACATCAGCAGCAGAACACGAGCAGCCTGCATACACATCCCATAATGCATCCCAGTGGTGGTTACCTTGGCGATCTTGGCCTCGTCCTTCTTCTTTCCTTTCTGTAAGGAGCTGAAGTGATGCCGGGCGCTGTCGAAGTCCACCATCTTCCTGTCACGCTTGGCGATGCGAGCCTGCAGCAGAGCTCAGGTCAGATTATCTGCTGTTATTTATTCATAATCAGGAAATCTGATCTGTGCTCACAACACGGACATGTTGCTGATTCATTGTGAAGAGAAGGAACCATAAAGACCTTAATATCAGGGAACTGAGTCAGGTACGAGTCCAGAGAGGTCAGAGATTTATCAGTGATGCTCTGGTGGTAGTCTAGCCACAGAGTGTCTGTGTCCTGAAACACACACACACAGACACACAAGCGCACGCACGCACGCATGCACAAGCACACACACACACACACACACACGCACACGCACACACACACACACACACACCAGAGTGAGATGTCTTCTCACACACATTCACTGAGTTATGAAAGAAAAAGTTTTGATTATAACGACTACAAGTACTCAGATCTTTTACTGAAGTAAAAGTATTAGCATCTAAATACACGTAAAGTGCTCACTATGCAGAATCACAGTACTGTACTTGATGCATTAATGTGTTCGTCACTGTAATGTTCCAGCTGGTGAAGGTGGAGCTCATGTTAGTGACTTTATATGCTGCTTTTATAATAATAGACCATCGTTTATGAGTTGATTTAATAATCAGGATCTGTATCTAGAGCTTTAAAATAGATGTAGTGAAGTAAAGCAGCACATTTGTGTCTGAGATGTGGTGCAGTGGAAGTATTTGTTCAGTCTAACAGCAGCACTACTTCCTCTACAGCTGGACCTGCTCTCTGCCTGTTACCTCCAGGTTATTGTCCATCTCCTTCTCTATCATCTCCTTCAGAGTGGAAGGACAGACGCATGCAGTTCAGAGAGAGAAAGAGTGTGAACGGAAGGAAGAGTGGAGAGAATCATGCACAGCTGACAGCAAAAAACAGAGTGAATACTCCAATGCGTGACATAAATACCACATGTAACATGTATATGTCGTCTGTAGACCAGTGAACGAGATGCCGAGGTTTCCTGGTCTCACCTCCGTCAGCGCGTCCATCTCCTCTTTGCCGAACCACTCCGGCTCGTACATGTCGGCCAGGCAGTCCTGCAGCCGCCGGGACGCGTCGTGCATCGCTGCAACACAAGAGAGGGTCGTGTCTGCCTCCGAGCGGAGCCTCTTTGTGACATGAAGGACAGTGAAACTCCTGCAGATGTAAAGCTAGATCACAACAGCTGCTCACACTCACTTTTCACTGCTACCAGGTAGGCTTTCAGGTCTTTCTGCAGTTTGCCGCCTTCTGTCTGCAGGAGCGAACACAGCACAGTCAATACAGATGTTTATTGATATAAAGATGCCCCCCCGTGTGGCCTGGTTTCATCACTTGCAGGGAGACAAATAGATGCTTTAAAAGGAGTACAATGGCTGCTGACCATCTGCTTGTTGAAGTTGGCCACCATTTCCTCGAAGGCGACGTCTCGGGTCTCATCTGCTTTGCCGAGCTTCTGCATGACCTGCAGAGCAGACGACACGCCGTCGATACGTTAATATCTGTCAGTGTCTCATTTCATTCAAAATGTGTCAACATCGGAGGATGCTGCAGCTAATGCTGGAGACAGGATTACCAGCATGCATCTGCAGAAAGACTACAACCTCCTGCTGTTGAACTACAGCTCTGTGCCTTCTCCTTCAGACCTGCCGCTCCATGTAACAGTGGACTCCTCGTGATGGAGGAGGAATCCTCCCGGAGAGTTGTTGATGTTGATCAACCAGCGTTAAACCTGAACAATCAGCTATTTATTCATTCTTTTTCAGATTTCTCTGATGTGTATTTAAATAAAATGATATGATAATATAGAGTAAAGAGAGTTGTACATTTGTATTTACTGCTGTTAGACAAGGTCACCGGCTAATCTGAGCCTCCGCCACTCTAATCCTGTGACACACAAACCGCCATCAACACGACGACGGGGACTTCCCCTCAACACACACCTGCTCACTGAGCGTCCACACACACACACACACACACACACACTCTATTCCTTTATTACTTCAGTATCAGCAGTAAATGTCTGTGTGACATTATTAGATATTAGATCCTCTGTTTGACTCATTTCATTCTCTGTTACTTTGTGTTATTATTGCTTCTATTTATAGTAAAGTCAAAGCCTTTGCTGCAGTTTAGATATTTCAATCGGTGGTCTATTAAAACCCGGACCTATATTTGGACGACACAACTGGTGTGACCTTCACAGCCCTCAATGTCCGCCGGCTCATTGTGCACCTGTCACAGGTTTCATGGTGCATTCAGGGCTGACAAGGCTGGAAATATGGTGTGTTTTCAGACTGTAAACTCAGGTGTAATGGAACACATACAGTACTTGAGTTTACCACTGCGTGTGTGTGTGTGTGTGTGTGTGTGTGTGCGCGTGCTCCGGGGGTATTTTTGAGGAGTGAAACTGAACACCGATGGGTGACGGACGGCTCTGAGCACACACACACACACACACACACACAGGCAGTTTGTGGTGTATTAAGAGTGATGAGGAGGAGGCCCAGGAGGGCTATAGATAGACCCCCCCCCACACACACACACACGCCCACAGCAGTGAGGCATGCTGGGAGTCCACAGGGAGGGAGGGGGGACAGGTGTGCAGGCCAAGCAGGGCAACTGTCAGGTTTGATAACTTTAGCTTTGAAACATGAATCATAGAAAGCATCATGTCAGTCTGCTTCACTGTCTACTGTCTATTATTTTACACTTCTAATACTGTCTATAAGAACAATAATAACGTAGAAATAATGACATGTAATAACATGTTTATAATGGAGATATAAGGACATGTAATAACATGTTTAGAATGGAGATATAAGGATGTTTAATAACATGTTTATAATGTAGATATAAGGATGTTTAATAACATGTTTATAATGTAGATATAACGATGTTTAATAACATGTTTATAATGTAGATATAAGGACATGTAATAACATGTTTAGAATGGATAATATAAGGATGTTTAATAACATGTTTATAATGTAGATATAAGGACATGTAATAACATGTTTAGAATGGATAATATAAGGATGTTTAATAACATGTTTATAATGTAGATATAAGGATGTTTAATAACATGTTTATAATGTAGATATGATGTTTAATAACATGTTTATAATGTAGATATAAGGACATTTTAAGTATTTATTAATGTGCAGTATTTGTCAACAATTCCAATTTCTCTATGAAGACTTATTTTATAATTATACAACTATGTTTTACGATACTGTCATTATTATAATACATGAATGAACTCTTCTTCATATCTGCTTACATTACATAAGAGTCATAAAATGTTTGTATTTAAAGTGATTTAAATAAAGTGTTGCCATATTTTGTATATGATGACTGGATTAACCTGCAGTTTTATTTTGTGGAATTGTTGTTGCATATTGCCAAAAATAAAGTGACCCCATAAGTGAACCTTTGGGGGCCTTTGGGGGTCTTTGTGGGCCCCTGGGGGGGTGAGTGTCATGGGGTCCTGCCTCTTTGAATCCCAGCACCACACCGGGTCTCCAGCTGCACTCTAAAGAGCACCTCCTCCATAAATTTATGAAAAATGAAGCTGGAATTTTGAGAGTTATGTATAAATAATACGAGATAAAGTTGTAATTGTATTTTAAAAGCACATTTAAACGAAGCAACGCTTGAGTTATAATATTATGCAAAGTGACGTCATTATTGTTTTGCGAGGTGTAAAAAGTCATAATATGACGAGAGTAAATTCATGAGTCCGACGTTATGACAAACAGTCACCTGACCGAGTAAAAGCATAAAGTGGGCGGGGCGTTGGAGGAGGTGGGCGGAGCGTCGGAGGAGGTGGAGGGCTGCATGCCAGCAGACAGACAGCTGAACCCAGCGCTCCCCTCCTCCACCTCAGAGGGAAGATGATACTCTGACCTTCCTCTTTCCTCCACAGCTCAGTATCTCAGCTCAGCGTCCGTCACACAAGACGACACCAGACCAACAAGTTACATTCATACCTTTCTACATCTCCTCCAGACAAACCCTGACTTCTCCGTTTCATCTCAAGGCGTTTAGATCTCCAGCAGAACCCTTCACACCTAAGAAGTGCTGGAGCCTACATCAAC